CACCTACCACTGGGGAGAGGAGAGCCTATTCAGTAAATGGTGCTGGGAAAACTGACTGACCACATGCATAAGATTGAAACAGGACCCCTATCTATCCCTATACACAAAAATTAACTCCAAATGTATCAGAGACCTAAATGTAAAACCTCAAACCATAAGAACCTTAGAAAATGAAGGACACACCCTCATGGAAATTGGAACTGGCCTCCAATTCCTGAGCAAAACTCAAAACCCACAGACCATAAGGGATAAGATAGACAAGTGGGACCTCATTAAACTGACAAGCTTCTGCAAAGCCGAAGAAACCATCAAGAGAGCAGGAAGACAGCCTACAGACTGGGAAAATGTATTTGCCAACTCCAGGTCTGACAAAGGCCTAACATCTTGGATCTACAAGGAACTCAAACGTGCTGAAAAGAAAAAAAGCAAACAACTCCATTATAAAGTGGGCAAAAGATATGAACATACACTTCACAAAGGAAGACATTCGAGCAGCCAACAGACACATGAATAAATGCTCAACCTCATTAATGATTAGGGAGATGCAAATTAAAACCACACTGAGATACCACCTAACTCCATTCAGAATGGCAATTATCAACAACTCAAAAAATAACAACTGCTGGAGAGGGTGTGGCGAAAAGGGAACACTTCTACATTGTTGGTGGGAGTTTAAACTAGTGTAACCTCTGTGGAAAGCAGTGTGGCGATTCTTAAAAGCTCTAAACATCAACCTCCCATATGACCCTGCAATCCCCCTACTGGGAATATACACTGAAGAACTCAAATCACTCTATAAAAAAGATACCTGCACGCGAATGTTTATTGCAGCATTGTGAACAATAGCAAGAACCTGGAACCAACCACGCTGTCCATCAAAAGAGGACTGGATTAAAAAAATATGATACATTTACATGATGGAATACTACGCAGCCATAAAGAAGAACAAAATCATGAATTTTGCAGCAACATGGATGGAGCTAGAGTCTATAATACTAAGTGACCTCTCACAGAAACAAAGATCTGAGTATCACATATTCTCACTCATATAGTAGACCTTGATCATCCAAAGCACTACTATATGAAAATGACTGACAGTTTTGGGAAAATATTGGGGGGGGGAAATGGGACTAATGGTAGTAAACATCTGTCTGGAGATGGGGAGACACCTGTTATCAACAAGGGGCCCTGAATGAAGCATATTTGTATACCTAACCCGAAACTGTACCCCACAATATCAAAATAAAAAATATTGATAAAAAATAAAAATAAATAAAATAAATAAAATTAAAAAATACCCTGGCGTTTCTTTCATGCTTCCCAGTAATTTTCTGCAAGTGTTCCCACTGATCAAACTAAGCAGTTGGCTGGGCTCGGTGGCTCAGCCTGTAATCTCACCGCTTTGGGAGGCCGAGGTGAGTGGATTGCCTGAGCCCGCGGGTTCAAGACCCACTGGGCAACTTGGCGAGCCCTCATCTCTACAATAAATTTTTAAAAAATTAGCTGGGTGTGGTAGCACACGCCTGTATTTCCAGCTACTTGGAAAGCTGAGGTGGAAGGATCGCTGGAGCCCAGCAGGTTGAGACTTCAGTGGCCGGGAGCGCCCACTGCACTCCAGTCTGGGTAACAGAGTGAGACTCCAACTCAAAAAATAAAATAAAATAAAATAAAATAATAAAAATAAAAAATACCCTGGGATTTCTTTCATCCTTCCCAGTAATTTTCTACAAGTGTCCCCAATGATCAAACTAAGCAGAAAGATACATGATTTATTATCCTTGAAAATATAGTCTACAAAGTTCGTTCCTCTTGAAATACAAGACAGAAAAGAAGGAAAAAGAGAAACACCTGTAGAAAAAGAAATCTAATCTTTGTATAGCATTCCAACCAAAATGCAAATAATGATACTCCTATACATGGGGATAATGCATACCCTGTACTTGATCAAGAGAATAAAGTTCAAAAGGATTGAAGTAGGGTCCAAGCAATTAAATGGCAGTCCACCAACTCAAAGTAGCAAAGGGGAGGTTCATTATTCAAGACTCTTGCTGGTCAACAGCCTCTTGCAGGGAACTAGTTCCAAGCAAGGGCTCCAAGCTGCAATACAGGGCTGTCTTATGTAGTTAGATTTACATCCTGGCTGGCTAAAGATAGAACTTGGGACTTCCCAGGGCTCTTATAGCAATATTCTGGAGGCATGGGCAAGCAAGCAAGTTTACAGAAGCAGATGTAGCTGATTATGCAAGTGTGGCGGATAAGGGTACAATCAATTGTGTAATGTCTGCAGAGAAATTTTCCAGGAAAGGAGTAATGCCTGCCTCAAGTTTAGAGCTATTCCTGCTTTCCCCACTTACACTTCTTTCTTTATTCTCTTTGTTCCTTCTTACAGGGTCTTATAATAGAAAACTGGACAAGAAATTTCCTGAAGCTTATATTGTTTTTCAGAGTTAAGTCTAGCTTAGGTATGTTACTTCAGAATCTCTGGAGGTATGAGAAGATGTTAAGGTGATCACTCTCATTAACTAACAGACTTGTTCCTCCACCTTCCATGTCTTATCTCCTATGTCTTAAAGAAGCATTCAGTTTGCAACATCTGTGTGTGCTTAAGTCCATAAGGTACAACAAATCATCTTTCTCAAGAGGCCTAGAGTTTAGAGACCCTCTCTTATTTGTTTCTAAACTCAGAGCTCAGGTGATAAAGACACAACAAGAATGAATCCCTTTAAGAGACTATAGTGTGTCTGGAAAGACCCAAAATGATTGGTGAAACTGCTTACAACCAAACAGCATTCTCATGAGAGTCTATATACATAGAGTGTAACTTGCAGGCCTCTGGTCTCCCAGGAAAAGAAGTAGAAGAGCACTTATTCTAGATAAAGCCAGCATTAAGCTGAGTCTCTGGCTGGGAAGTGAGAGCATCTAGTTACAGAGGTAAGATAACCAAACTGTAGGCAGTAGACAGATGGTTACATTGGGATGTTATAATTCAGTTCTTCCATGAAAAGTAAATGTTGGGTCCTAGAATGAAGGCTCTAGGTGCCATCCTAAGTGATGAATTCTTAGTCTTATCGTTACCTGAGGTGATTTGACCGTTTGTCTTTACACACAGTAACAACATAGAAGGAAATTAAATTAATTTTCAAGGTGAGATTTACCCGTTACTAACCTAACCCTAGGATTGAGTCTTGATACGAAGGGCTCAATATGGTTTTATGTACACTAAAGGATGACCCATATTATGTAGGCTCATATACTAATTTTTTTTTTTTTTTTGAGTTGGAGTCTCACTCTGTCGCCCAGACTAGAGTGCAGCGGCCGCTCCCGGCCACCGCAGCCTCGACCTGCTGGGCTCCGGCGATCCTTCCGCCTCAGCCTTCCGAGTAGCCGGAATTACAGGCATGCGCTACCAAGCGCAGCTGATTTTTTGATTTATTGTAGAGATGAGGTCTCGCTGCCCAGGCGGGTCTCGAACCCGCGGGCACAGGCAATCCACTCACCTCAGCCTCCCAAAGGCAAGGGATTACAGGCTGAGCCACCGAGCCCGGCATCATATACTAATATTTGAGCCAAAATAGTATTATTAATATTATTATTAGTCTTATTGTATATAAATAAGGTGTCATCATGTTTTGATATATTTATCTTGATATATATAAGCATAGTAAATGATTACTATAGTCAAGAAAATTCCCATATAATTGACTTTGTTTTTTATAAAGAGTAACCAAACCTACTTTCTTGGCTAATTGCTAGTACACAATATTATTCACTAAAAATAATTATTTGTTTATTCAAAATTTAATATTATTAGGGCTTTAGCAATATAATTATCCACTCCTTCCAAGGCAACTTTTTGATAGCCTGATATCTGTAAGCCAAGAGTTTATTATAAAACTAATAACCTGATATCTGTAAGTCAGAAATTTTTTAATAGAAATTTTCTTAGGAAATAAAAATCACTGTCAAGTGTACTGCACGACTTTGAGGAATACATTATGCACATTCTAGAAGCGTCTGATTGTAAAAGACGCTCTGTAAAAGAATACAAATAAAACCCGGACTCGGTGGCTCAGCCTGTAATCCCGCGCCTTTGGGAGGCTGAGGTGAGTGGATTGCCTGAGCCCGCGAGTTCGAGACCCACCTGGGCAGCGAGACCGCATCTCTACAATAAATCAAAAAATCAGCTGGGCATGGTAGCGCATGCCTGTAATTCTGGCTACTCGGAAGGCTGAGGCAGAAGGATCGCCGGAGCCCAGCAGGTCGAGGCTGCGGTGGCCGGGAGTGGCCACTGCACTCCAGTCTGGGCAACAGAGTGAGACTCCAACTCAAAAAAAAAAAAAAAAAAAAGAATACAAGTACGTAGTAGCCTGAATACCTGCATTTTCCAGACTTAGTCTTTTTCTCTATTGGTTCATGTTTCGTAAAATGGTAAGTCATTCAGTTTGACTGGAATTACAAAGATAAGGTTCTTTTCTTCAGTAAGTCAAGGATTCCTCTTCCCAGATAGCACATTTTTGTTCACACCTCGCCTTTCTAATTTGTCACTTGCTCCAGTTGTTTTTCAGTCATGCAATGTTTCCTTCTTCTCTTATCTATAACCATTATCATTGGTAATAGGTGAGACAGATTAAATATGAAAATGACATGTTATGGTCTTTTACTTTTCTGACTGTGTCAGATGCTAGACAATTATCTTTCTATATTCAGCAATATATCACCTACTACTACAGCAATGCATCTATCCAGCTGAACCTCACTTCCTAAAGAAAAGCACTTATATATGTATGACACACACACACATACAGAATACTTTTCTACTTTGTTTTACCCAAAAAAGTTCAGTCTCGTGTATTTGATTTTTGAAAGGTGGAACTACTGAGAAAATAATTCAATAACCAGATCTCTTTCAGGCTATAAATTACATAGGTTGACATTTGCATATTTGTAATCTTTGTGATTTTTAATTTCAACAGTATTATGGAATATCTATTGTGTATATGATGCTGGCTTTCAACAGGACCAATCTTCAACCTGCCGTCTTTCTATTACTTGGCATTCCAGGATTGGAGTCTGCCCACGTATGGATTTCCATCCCTTTCTGCCTGGTTTACCTCTTGTCAATTATGGGAAATGTTGCCCTTTTGTTAATTGTCAAGACAGACCTGAAACTGCATGAACCTATGTACTTCTTTCTGTGTATGCTCTCTGTGGCTGATTTGATGCTTACTTCTTCTACACTTCCTAAGATACTCAGTCTTTTCTGGTTCAATGACAGAGAGATCTACTTTGAAGCCTGCCTCACTCAGATGTACCTTATCCATTCTCTGTCTACCATGGAATCTGGATTCATCTTGGCCATGGCCTTTGACCGTTATGTGGCCATCTGTCACCCACTGAGACATTCTACTATCTTAACACCTACAGTGATTGCAGTTTTGGGTCTGGTCATTGTCTTCAGAGGATCCGTACTCCTCAGTCCACATCCCTTTCTCCTGAGGTGGCTTTCCTACTGCAAAAGTAATGTCATTTCCCATACCTACTGTGAATTTATGGCCCTGATAAAGCTGGTTTGCACTGAGACCAAGATTCGTAGAGCTTACAGCCTAATTGTGGCCTTTCTGACAGGTGGACTGGACTTCATATTGATTATCTGCTCCTATGTCCTTATTCTTATAACTGTTTTCAACCTCCCATCCAAAGTTGCCCGTCGCAAGACCTTAAGCACCTGTGTTTCCCATGTGTGGGTCATCTTGGTGTTTTACACACCAGCCTTTTTCTCTTTTCTCACCCATAGATTTGGCCACCACATTGCTTCACATGTCCACATTTTTATAGCCAACATATATCTTCTTGTTCCACCTATGATGAACCCTATCATTTATGGTGTTAAAACAAAAAGGATTAGGGAAAAATTCTTTATGTTCTTAACAGTGAAATGTTTTTGATTTTGCAGAAACTTATGATTCCCTATCAACAAAGATAAATGTTTAAAGGGAACATTAAAATGAATCAGCATACTTCCCAGTGAAAGTTTTAAGTTAATGTTCTGATTCATATAGCTTGATAAATTTTAAGTATATTGACTTGCTTGAGCAATAACAAGTATAGAAGGTAAAGAGGAAACAGAAGAAATTTAGAGCAAATCTTCCAATTATTATTTATGGTTTTAAATCTAATTTTTAGTATAGACTTTGACACTTATTAAGCCAAAACTAAATTTGCATTAAAATAATTTTGAATTTGATAAAATCCAAATTATTTTATTTGATGGACTTTTTTTGGTAATATCTACAAAAAATGCATAAATTTGAGTCAAAATGGTTTCTACTAAAAAGTTTCAAAAACTTTCATGTTGTGTAAGGTATGGGGTTTTTGTCAAAGTTCATTTATGGTATAAAAATAATAATCTAAACTTTCTAATTGTCAATTTGAGCCTTAATTGAGACGATGCACTTTGATAATTCTGAATAAAGTTGGATCTAATTTTCCTGTTTTGTATCAGTGTATTTTAATGTCTACTTTCTTTACTTCCCTCAGTCAAATGTATATTTTTTGTAAAGCGAAGTGATACTTATACAGGATAAAAAATTTTTGCTCCAAAATATATCTCTTTGACATATACTAAATTGTCCCTGTAAAGCTATGTCTTTTGTGAGGAAAATTTGCATCCGTAGAACAGTAGATACTCTGGTTAATTAATGCAACAGACTCTTCCTTTGTCCAGATCAAGGTAAGACTAGCTGAGAGTCAAATACATTTACATGTCTAAAAAGAACATTTACTCTTTTCTCTCTGAGAGCTGCTACCTATAACGTTTCATCTACATAACAAGAGCACTTTTGCTAACCAAGTCTCTACTATCCCTCCCATAACTTATTTTGCCTGGAAAACTTGATTTACCAACATAATTGTTTTTGGCCATGCTCTGAACCCACATTTTTTCTGTAACCTCAAGGTGGTATATAAGCTTCTGTACCTCATTAAATAAACTTGTATGCCTTCTTCTCTTTAAATCAATTTGCCTCCTGTTAGTGATTTTCGATAAACCATTAGGAGAACAAGGGCTTTATTCCATACACTTGTTGTACTATAAACATTGTTTAAATATATACACAGAGAAAAGCACAAGTGTATCAGCATCAGTATCTGATCTTTTTATGCTCCATGTAGCTGTCATTGTTTATTCCATGCCAAAGCTAAAGTGCCTTCTGTTTGCTTGCACATTTTATATTCAGATATTTTTAAAAATCACCTGTTCATGATGGTAAGTTTCCTATGATGTGTTAGACCTATATGTCTGGCTGCTGTTTTATTTCTTCCTTTAATTCATGCATTGCAAAAATATACTAATGCATACTATCCACTATTTCATTCTCCATTTCCAAACAAAAACAGATTAAATGTCCTTGTTTAGTATGTATAGTTTCCAGATGAAATACAGTCTGTCCAGTTAAATTGGAATTTCAAATAAACAACAAATAACTAATGAAACACACTTCTGCTAAAATTTTTTAAGAAGAAACTATTTCTTATAATAACAGATTTCATTCATAAGGTGTCCAATATTTGTATTTGCTAAATGTAACAATCGTACTAGTAGAGAAGTTTGGACATTGATTTTCCAGAGACCATATTTGGGTTTTTTCTCATTATTTTATTTAGAAGTTATTATTTATCAATAGCTAGAGGTGAGGCCACTTATCCAAATCTAGTTTATCAGGAAAATTTTTTTTTTTTAAACAGTATTCCAAATATTCTTGGGTTATCAAAACTGGATCTCCTTCCCTTAGTTTAACAACCCAGTTTTTTTCAGTGGCTTTGAAAATAGAAAGCTGCCTTGTTTTCAACTCCAGCAGCTTATCTTATTCTGTCCTCTAGTGGCGTATACTTCAGTGGTAGATCAATTTTTATCTGTAAGAGGATCACTTGTATACCTAATCCAGAATTGTATCCCACATCTTTAAAATAAGATAATTTTTAAATTTTTTTCAATTAACACAATCTAGAAGCATATACTTCAAGCTAATTATGTTTCTCTTACTTAATTCACTCCTAAAAATCCTGCTGTTAAATACAAAGCTGTTATGTCCAATAAAACACTAGTATTTTTAATAATTAAAATTATACTTTGCATCCTATTCAAAGACAGTTAAATAAAAATAAAAACAAGAAAAGATAAAATAAAATAAAATAAAAATTAAATGAAAACAAAATGCAGATACCCTTGTTGATGAGGTGTGCACTCCCTTTCCCTGGCAGTTTCCCACTACTGTCAATCATAATATCTTACCAGAACCTCTAGTTGAGTAAATTGGTGATTGTTTCATATCTTTGCCTGAAACCATAATATAAAAAAGTCTAAAAATTTGCATATTTATTTAACTCACGAAAAGCCATTATACTGAAAAATTGTTTAAATGTGATACAAATTTTAAAGGTATAATGGTGGAAAGCTGTTAACTCTATACTGTCTCTGTGAATTAAGTCTGTATTTGTAGCCTTACTCAAGAATGTAGCCTATGACACTCTTTCAGTTGCAGTTTCCTAAACACAACTGAAATTTTGATGACCAACATGAGAGTATAAATACCTTTCTTAGATTCCATACTGAAACAATGATTGATGGACAGGAAACACCTTTACTCAGACTATCTGCTATTTAAGGAGGAGTAGGACATATAAAAAAGATTTCTGTCTTGGATGAGATGTCCATTGAAGCTATTAACAAGTTCAGAAATTGAATTGATGAGTCCCCATACTTACTGATTAAATTTTCTTTTATTAGCACTATAATAGAATGGCAAACTCCAACAGTGCTTTGGAGACACACATCCAATGATGGCTTATATCAAGGCTATACTTGATTTAATAAGTGTTCCCTGATTATAAGATAACAACACATATAATACTTCTTAGTTTTGTAACATCTTCAGCTGCAGAGGCCCGCTCCGCAAGGGTCGTGAGATGTCCTGAAGGAGAGACGGATAGGCGAAGGACGAAAACAATATACCAGGACACCTACTTCCTGAACAGATGACCATTTAATGTTAGTTAACACAGAACTTTTATACCATTCGTGAAGGGGCAAGACAACGAAAATTCCTTCACGTACATATCTTTTAAAAGTTACCATCTAGTGGTCTTAGTAGCAAACAAACCAAGATTCCCATAAACATTTAGACAACAAGTTTTATTCATAAAGCCAACAATAATACTTTCAGTCCAGTGTCCCAAATTACAGTCCTTGAAATGTCTCAAGAAAGTTTCTTTAAGTGTACATTTCTTTATGTGTCAGGAATTTTCCCATCTTAGGCTTTTATGTTCTTCAGAGTCCCGTGATCGCCTCCCTTGTCCAGATGTCCTCGTTACTTTTCTCTTATCTTGCAGTGCTTGTTTCTAAAGAGAACTCAAAAGAAGCTTTTAGTAATGTTTCCCAGGCCCCTCAAGGTTGCTTTCTGTTTTAGCTGATCTGTCATAAAAGTGTCTGATTATTATATTATGAGTTCAGTGAAAACCCACTCTATAAATGTTAACTTAGAGTTTTAACTATTGAATTAAGTAAAAACCTTAACATTAATCTTTATCCTAAGTCAGTGAAAACAGTGTTATAAATCACCTACATAACTCCTAGATAAGTGTTAGAACTTATAATGAACTTACTATAAACTTGTGCTTCTAAAAAACCTTATGTCTAAACACTAAACTGTGTAATCCTAAATCAAATAAGGAGTGAATATACTTATATCATTTATTACTTAAGCAATATCTAGTAACTTATAACCAAGTGAAATAAAGCATTCTTGATGTACTTCAGAGTTTATCCCTTGCATATGTTAGAAAATGCCAAACAGCATAGTGGGAAATGGAAAAATGAACCATGACATTTCCAGGTTAGCTGTGATTCTTCGCATAAACATGCCATCTTCTTCTTCCACGACTGCACAGAATTTCTTCAGCTGTATCAACAGCAAAGACGGAAGACAGAAGGGCCTCAGCTGCCCGGACTCGCTTTGCGGCCGGGGGTCCTCAGCGCACCTGGACTTTGTCAATCAGGCGGGCCTCTAAGGCTGGCTCCCAACAATCAGCAGACCTCTTTTATTCTTAATTCATTAATTTGAATCTTCTATCTTATTTTCCTCATCAGTCTAAGTAAAAGTGTATCACTTATTATTTTTTAAAAAACAGATTTTGGTGCATGGACTCATTATTTTTCTGTACTTCATTTTAGTTATTTATAATCTTATCTTTATTAATTTCTTTCATTTGCTTGTTTTGCTTTAATCTTTCTAATGTCTTCAAGTGAATAATTGGGCTATTGATTTGAGATTATTGTTATTTAAAATAAAATATATAAGTATTTACAGCTAGAAATATCCTTTGTTTAAAAATTGCCTTTTAAAATCTATAATAATTGCTATTTGTATTATTTACATTCATCTCAAAGTATATTTTAATTTTCTTGCTATTTAATCAATACATTAATTATTTAAAAATTTTTTGTTTAATTTTCATTTTTCTGAATTTGCCAAATTCCTTTCACTTATTGATTTAGAATTTTGTGTTAATTTAGGTACACAACATTTTCATATAACTTCAATAATTTTATATTTAATGACATTTGTTTTATGGTCAGCATATCTGTCCTGGAAGATGTTACATTTACACTTGTGAAGAATGTGTGGTATGTTGCTCTGATTAAAGTTATCTATATTTTTTGCTGTTGTACATAAATGTATGTTAGAGCTAGTTGATTGATAGTATTGTTCAGGTAATTCATTTGCTTGCTGACTCTCTCTCTAATTGTTCTGCCCACTACTGAAAGCGGGAAATCATCTGTTTGTTTGTTTGTTTTTTCTGACTTTCTATTTGTTCTATCCACTACTTTAAGAAAGATATTTAAATCCCCAATTACAGTTGTTGAATTGTCTCTTTCTTCAATATTGTC